TGGAACAACGTAAATCCGACCGTGAATCTGCACAAACGCTCAAGAACACGAAGAACACAAAGAACACAAAGAACACAAGGATTTTATCGTGGTTCACCCCAATGTTTGGGCTACGTCCACACTGTAGTTGATTCTGTTTCTCTGTAATTGTATGGATACAAGTGTTTGAGGGGAAGTCCCCCAGAGAGAAAGAAGAGAAGGGAGAGGAGAGCCTCGGTGGTGTGAGGTCTCTCCTGAATGTAATGATAGCTTCTCTTAGCCTTCTTAGGCTTGGCTCTTTTGCCTCCCTTAGAATGAGGGTAGGAGTCCCCTTTTATAAAATAAGGGGCTCTTCCTCTTTTACAAAGTATGGGCTTTAGTGTGAGGCCTAAATACAAGGCCCAAGGCCCAAATATACGAGGCCCTAAATATGGTATAAACAAATATGTTGGGTACAAGTATCATTTGTTCCAAAAACAAAAATACGTAAAATTTGAGTTCATTGCCTTGGAACTATCCAATCATGCTGGTTAAATTTGTCTGGATCTTGTTAATTGGGGCAGTGGAGGGAGAGTAACCTATAGGAACTGAGACACTACTGGTTTTCCTTGCATGTAGTTCCAAAGGAACAGACTCAATAGAATCTTATACAGCAATCCCTACAATTTATATGGTGGGACGTATATCAACCTTTTGTGACCTTTGTTTCATGAGCCAGCAACCCAGCTTATTCCCGTGTCTTTACATGGATCATCCCAAAATCATGTTCGTTCGTTCACTTGCCCTCAATATATAACAAACTCTTCCATATTTTTATGACACTCTCCTGCCCCATTCTTATACATGCATATTTCATACACAATATGTACATGCTCACAACAAACAACAAAAGAGTATATCATGTCAGTATGATCAATTAGAAAATTGTAACAATGATCCCTTACTTTAACCCAATTAGAGCAATGGTCACTCAACTAAAAATTCATGAATATTGGTCCTTTAACTCATCAAAACCTGCAGTTATGGTCATTTTCGTCAACTTCATTGGAATTATGTCAAAATGACTCATGTTGGATGACCATTTCTGCAATTGGGTTAAAGTTGATGGACCATTGCTCTAATTGGGTTAAAGTTAAGAGACTATTGCTTCAATTGGGTTAAAGTTAAGGGACCATTTCTCTAATTGGGTTAAAGCTTAGGGACCATTTCTCTAATTGGGTTAAAGCTGAGGGACCATTGCTACAATTTTTTTCATTTGGTTTTCTATATTTGCTCCTTGATTCAACCTCACATGCATGAAACGAGACTTATTTTGACGGAAGTTTTAATAGAGTTGACGAAAATGCCCATAGCTACACTTTTTGATGAGTTAAGGGACCAACGGTTGTTTTTTTATTTGATTTTCTATATTTGCTCCTTGATTCAACCTCACGTGCATGAAACGTGACTTATTTTGACGGAAGTTTTAATAGAGTTGACGAAAATACCCATAGTTACACTTTTTTATGAGTTAAGGGACCAATGATCACGGATTTTTAGTTGAGGGATCATTGCTCCAATTGAATTAAAGTTGAACGATCATTGCTACAATTTCCTCACGATCAATTGAAGATCCAAAACATAATATTTATAATAATAAATTGACAAAATTAGGGAAATTGGATGTTATAGGGACAGTTACAAAAACCTTTTGCTGAAATAGGAAAATTAATACGAATGACATGAATTTTGACACGAAAAATGTCTCATATACCCTATGTGTACAACTGCATGTTCGACAATTTTCTATTCAAATCCACTCTCCGCATGTAGAATTCTTATTGTTATTTACGTGATATATATACTGAAGCTTTTGAAACATTTCACGTGTTATGTATGCACATCTTGATCGTTTGATTTTCCAATCCACTTATTATCATCTTATATATATAATCCTTTTTTCTTTCTTATAGACATGCTTTAAGTAGTTGTTAATAGGCTAATGTATATGTTACATATCATTTTTTTGTATTACACCGGGTTAAAAGCCCCGGAATATTATTTTTAAATGAGGCACTTTCTTTTTTCTATCTTAATGAATATCGTATATTTTCTCAAGCTGTGATATTTGTGTCATTGTTCAATTTAACATATTTTAGTTTCACAAATTAGATAGTTTTATACATACCTTCAGTTCAATTCATTTTAATTTTGGGGTAACACAGTCGTTAATTATGCCAAAGGTTATCTCATGCAGAGTCTGAGATTTAGTTATACACGTGCAAACATGGGGGCACATGTGGGGAGGGGGCAGACTGGCCGAGGGAAAAGAAAACAAAGAAAGCACAGAAGGTGTGAGAGAAGGCAGATGATATGAGAGATATGATGATGGGAAAAATATTCTTCACACTAATAAGTACTGTTCATTTGTACCTGTCAATATTCGAATACCGGACTTGGATTGTCTGCTCTCCTCATTCCATACCCTTCTCATGCCCTTTTATATTTTTTTGTCACGGTTAAGCCACGTCAATATTTTATATTGATCTTTTTATAGAAATAATAAGACAAAAAGTAATGGGAATATAAAATGTTAACGTAGCTTAACCGTGATCACATAAATAAGAGAGTATGAGAAGAGTATGAGATGGGGAGGGCAGACAATCCAAGTTCTTGAATACCCACACACATGTATGGTTTTCACTTATCTTCCCATAGCTGGTCTGAAAAGTTGGGGACCAAGTGAGAGTTCGTTTCTATTTCCCAGTTAACAACATTATGTACTAATTCATAACTAATCCGTCCTGTCATCTTTAGAAAAGCTCTCATCGCATATACCGACATCTCTGTATCACCTGTTACTTTACTCGTGCATATATTTATCTCACTGTCGGTAATACTGCATGTTCTCTCCAATAATAGGGTAGAATAGCTTTTAAACCCTAATTGGCTGACCAAGTCCATTCAATAATTGAAGAGAGTCTGCAGTAATCTTGGATACATACACTATTGTCTTTGCCTCGCTGATGAGAGTAGTAGTGTCTTAGTTTGTAATCTTAATTAAAGTTTAGGCATGCACTTTGGTTTAAGTAGTCATTGATCATGTGGATGAATATATATGACATGGCCAGCTAGAAATTAGTTTTGTTTTGCAGCTTCCGAACGTGGGGTCTCCATGGATATGATGATGACATGAAGAAAGCCCAGCAAGCAGGGATCTCAAAAGCAGGTTCACATGCACATACATGGACCTCAAATGCTACAGGCATGAGCAATGAGCTACTACAGTGAGAGACTGAGAGAGCAGTGACACAAACGTGCATCACTCCTTTGGCTTGATGGGACCCCTAATGCTATGTGTTTGACTAATTGACTGAGAGTTTTTGAGAGGAATTGGAAGGAACCCGGATCCGTCAAATGAGGCTCATTTCTTAAATAATGTAAGCAGTTTAATAATCCTTAAATTTCTTTCGACAAAAAAAAAATCATTTAATTTCCAGTTTTTATTTTTTTGAAAATTAAAAACTGAAAGTACTGTTTGCTAACTATTTTTAATTTTTTCCAAAATAAAAACTGAAATAAAAAAGTAAAAATTGAATGCCGAATTCAAAAACTTAAGAAAGTTTCAAAGTAGTTTTCATTTTTTTGTTTTTGATTTTTGATTTTTTAGTTTTTGATTTTTATTTTTTGAAAAATGAAAATATTTATCAAACAGATTTTCAGTTAAAAAAAATGAGAACAAAAATTAGAAACAAAAAACGAAATGGTTATTAGACGACACCATAAGAAATAGTGTTTTCTAAATTACTTTAATGTATGGATATACAAATGTTTGAACGGCTAGACTGTCCAAGTAAATAGAATCAAATCAGGGCTTCATGATCTACTTTTGTCTTGTTTATGAGTTATATCTGTGATGGATATTGGGTTGTTTTGTAATTCTTGAGGTGTTATGTTAAGGCTGTTTATGTTGATATAATAATATTCATGGAGAATTGCTAAGGAAACTCTCTTAAAATTAAGATTCTTCGTAGATTTTCTACCACTTCATTTTTTGACATAATTTACGTGTTAACATTATAAAATATTGTACCAAAATCCTTATGTGTTAGAGAATTCACAAAAAAAAAAATTCTCATTTTGAGAGTCTCATTAGGGGTCAGGAAGTTCAAAGATTTTGACCCAAACTGCTCAGTTCTTCAAAGCATAGATCGTACATTCCGGTGAATATTATGACACACACTAAATGAAACAAACTTCTGCAATGGGTTTTCTTCCACCGAGTGAAAACCAACAATAATACCAGTTTTCATAATTTTTACGCATTTTACTATCACTGTTCATTAGTTATTATTTCTTACCTTAGTTAGTTCAAACTTATTTGCGTATCAAAAGGCAACCCTAAGTCAGCATTATTTTGTATCAAAAGGCGATCCTAAACCAACAATATTACTGTTCATTAGTTATTATTTCTTACAGTGATATAATTAAAGAATTTGTAACTTAATTAATTACGGATATTTATTTATGCACCTGAAGTTTTATGTTTGATTTACTCCACTCAAATATCATTTTGTGTATATATATATATATATATATGTATGTATGAATTGGATTATTCAGCAGTGTGTGTTTAATTAGCTGCTGATTCGATGTCATTAGAATCTTTTGCTTCTATATAATAAGGTCATTAGAATCCTGGATTATGGAAGCCATAAATAATGAAATTGATGTCTTCCCTACGTACATGACTCGTGAACCCCCTCCTCTCTGAAAGAGACAGAAACAGGTGGAGAGGTGGGGTTTAGGGTGACGTTACGGAAGTGGCCTTTTTGGACTGTCATAAAAGTTGTGAAAGAAGGGACATGAAAAAATCAAAGCAAATTATTCATGGCCAAATTGGGTTTGGTGATGGTCGTTGGGTCAACTTCAGGTGCTTAACTGAAACCCAAGGTAAACCCCCTCCTCTCTCTCTCTCTCTCTCTCTCTCTCTCTCTCCCTCTCTCCCTCCCTCCCTCCCTCCCTCCCTCCTGCAACTCCCTACAGAGACCGTGTAGGTTTCTGAACACTATTTGCTATTTTTGCTATTTCTAGTTTTCTCACCTGCAAAACACACAGTCCTTTCTCTTCCTACCTAGCTTTTACTGAGCTCTCTCTCTCTCTCTCTCGCTTCTAATTTATTTTTCCGATCTTTTCAAAGATGACTTTGTAACAGTTCTTCAACGTAAAAAAAATGATGGCCAACAATGGTGCTATATATGCAACAGAAAACGCAAATGTCTTAAGCTGTTTCTCCTCCTCCTCCTCTTCTTCCCCTTCTTCAATGGGAATGGTTTATGCGGACATGGGCTCTCTTTCTCTGAGATCCAACTGTGGGGTATATTCATCAGTTTCTTCCCAGGACAACAGCTACATCTCTAAGCTTTCTGAACCAGAAAATGGGAGGGCTTTCTGGGGTTTTCCTTCTACCAGAAGTTATGAGGATCACCACAACAGCAGTGACATGAAGGGCTCAGAATATACCAGCAGTGATCATGATAAGAATCCTAATGAGAGTGGGGTGAGTGTTAGTGAGAGGGAAACAGAAAATGGGCGATCAAAACTGTGTGCCAGAGGGCATTGGAGGCCTGCTGAGGATTCCAAGCTCAAGGAGCTTGTGACTCTTTATGGCCCTCAGAACTGGAACCTTATTGCAGAGAAGCTGGAAGGAAGATCAGGTAAATAATATGTGAAATTTTATAGTCCTTTTTTTTTTTGTATGGTTAAGTTTTCTTCTTGGGAAGTGATTTTCGTACTCATGTTTCCTCCAATGCACTCTACTTTTTTTCTCTTTGATTTTATGGTAGTCACTCTAATGAATATTTTTGCATATTTGTGTTTGTTAAAAAGGTAAGAGCTGCAGATTAAGATGGTTTAACCAGCTGGACCCAAGAATCAACAGAAGAGCTTTTACTGAGGAGGAAGAAGAAAAACTAATGCAAGCTCATAGAATATATGGCAACAAGTGGGCCATGATAGCCAGGCTCTTTCCTGGAAGAACTGATAATGCTTTGAAGAACCATTGGCATGTTATCATGGCCAGGAAGTACAGAAAGCAATCCAGTGCTTATCGGAGGAAGCTAAACCAAACTGTTTACAGAAGCGTGGACGAAAATCCAAGGGTCAATGCAGCCTCGAGGAGTACCGAACCTCCGCCACCTTACGTTGGTCTCAGTCTCCCCAATGGCGGCCTCAGCGGCGGTAGTTCTATATCGGATTTTTCATATGGAACAAGCTATTATGGTGGTGTTGGTTGTGGGGTTGGTTATTATGGCTCAAATGGTTCACAAAACTTGATTAGTTTGGGAGAAGAAGAAGCAATCACAAGGAAAAAATTGCTTTCTTATAATAATAGTGGATTTTGCTCACAACAACAACGAACTCCTTTTGAATTCTTCCCTGGTATGTCGTTGTTCTTATTCTTTTTAATTTGTCACCTTTCCATTTGCCTAAAACTCTCTTCCAATACCCTGCTTAAATTTGAAATGTCACGGTAGCAGTATCTTTTAAGTCCATAATCATGCATTGTCATGTGTATGATTAATTTGGGATACAGACGGATATCATTTTCTATGTCTATAATCACGCATTGTCATGTGTATGATTAACTTGGGCTACAGACACACGGATGTCCTAGCTGCATGCAAATCTCAAATACATAATGGTGGTTGTTTTATTGCAGGTCGGAAGAGCAATGAGGTGATGGGGATGATGAGCCAGAGCAGATGTCGGGATGGTTCAGGTGAGGTGGAGGATCATTCATGCGGGGATATGTACACCCACCATCCACCACCATACATGAATATGATGGCAATGCAAGAGTCAAACTTCCACAGCCTTGTTCATCAAAGCTACTCATATTCTTCATGTCAAGTTTCCGGCGGCAAACCCTCACCATCCGCATCAGCATCTGACAGAGTTATTGGCAGCGGCGGCGGCCACCGTGAGACGAGCATTCCACCACCGCCATTCTTTGATTTTCTTGGGGTGGGAGGCAGATGAAGTAAGAACCGCCCCCCCCCAAAAAAAAAAAAAACCTGAAAAGGGTTGGTTTTATTTTTTATTTTTTATTATTCACTTGAATTATCAGAAAAAAGGGGCTCAACGTGGTTGTGGTCCAAGGAACACTACGAAGCTAATACCTTACCCAACTCTTAGAAATTTTAGGTTCTAATGTCATCTTCAATCGATCTGGCCAGAGGATCATAGGGCTAAAAATAGTCCGAAATAACACGAAAACTGTTTACAACCGATAATTAGGCCAAAGGGCTCGTGGACCCAACCAGGCCAAAAACACCAAATCAGGCCAACCAGCTGGCCCAAATGTTCAAATCCAACGACTACCTGGCGTCAGCATGACGCCAGCTAGCTAATGTCATGCTGACGCCAAGTTACTGTTGGATTTGAAAAAAAAAAATCGAACAAAATTAAAAAATTTTTAAAAAAATTCTAATTTTTTTCCTATAAATACCTAAGTTATTCCTAAACCATTTCTTACATAATTTTCACCATGGCGGCTGATGATGATAATGATTATCGACTTTAAATTTAAGTTGTTGTAGTCTTTAATATTTAAATTGTAGTTTTTAAATTTAAGTTGTTGTAGTCTTTAATATTTAAGTTGTAGTTTTTAAATTTAAGTTGTTGTAGTCTTTAAATTGAAGTAATAAATTATGTTTGACCTATGACCCTTTGATCCCCTCGGTTGTAGATGGTTTTTTGTTACAGGACTATGTTTGGCTTATGACATTTTGGCCCCCTCAATTGGAGATGGTATGAAATATGGCATGACATTGTTCATTAAAATATAATTTCTTGGAGAGCTATAGGGCTAAAAAGAGCCCTCTTGCCCTCATTCAGTTGGAAATGGCCTAAACTTACTCCAACTTGGTCTAACCTTTGGGACAAATATGAGTTTTAACCCAAAACTCATTTCTAGGACAAATTTAGCCCATAATTCATCTGAATTAGTAGGGTTGGTCCACCATATATGTGTAGTTTTTTTAGTTTATATTTATAAATTCATTGAATCCAACGGTTAAGATCTAATATGATCAAATCCAATTATACAAAAGATCCAACGGTCCAAATTTAAATCTAACAGTTAAAGTAATTAAAAAGATATTTTATGTGTTTCATATTCTTTTATAGTGTTTCACGTGTTTTATGGTATCGGTTTAATGATTTTTCAATATTTATAGAAATCTAAATTCTTTTACGTTAAAATGTTCATAAAATTAAATTAGAATAGTCTACAATTTTTTTTTAAAGTTACTTCAAGAAAAAAATTATCATAAATTCATTCTTTAATAGTTTTAGGTTAAAATTTTAACTCAGAAGGGATTAGGGGAAAAAAATTATTTTTGGGTTAAAATTGAAATTTTCTAGGTTAAAATTTTTAAATTTTAACCAAAGAATTGGAGATGGTTTAAAAGAAAAAAAAAGAAAAAATTATTGTTGTTTTAGTTAAATCTCAGCTGACAGTGAAAAATTTACATCATTCCCTTTTAGTCATATGACTCATATCCTACCACCATCTTTTTCAATGTACCCCCAAACTCTCACGGGAGAACCCCTCATCAAAAGGAAAAAAACGAATAAATTAGATTACTGTCACACATTGACTTGTCATTTTTTTTCCATGTTTTCTTCTTTCCTTCAAATGCTGTACATGGAGCTCAAGAAAACAAAGATTTTTGTTTTTTTTGGTCAAATCAAGAAAACAAGGATCAAATTAACTTAAAGTATGGTAGAAGCGGATATTGCACTTCTTTTTTATACCTTGCAATCGCTCCTTATTTATTATTTCTTAGTCTCATATTTGAATAAATGAATAGAGAATTAAGAGACAAAAACAAAAAAATGAGTGTAGAAGGACAAATCGTAAGTGAAAATCACACTCTTCAAATTTTGTATTTGTTTGAAGCTTAGGAAATTAAATAGTAGTAAAGGATACCAAAAATTGTGATGCTGATGAAATAATGAGGCAAAAAAAGACAAGAACAGGGGCGTTAGATGATAAGGGAAACGCTAAGGAGACTCTTTTAAAGTAAGATTTTTTGTGGATTCTCTATAATTTCATAGTTTAATGTTGATTTTCATATTAACATTATAAAATGTTGTGCCAAAAATATAAAGTATCAAAAAGTCTATAAAAAATTATACTGTGAGAGTCTCTCTCAATAGGACCCGGCTTCCCTGCCCTCCCACTTCCCATACACTCTCATCCCCTCATATTTTGTGCGGTCACGGTTAAGCCACGTCAATATTTTATATTGATTTTTTTTATAGAGATAATAAGATAAAAAACAATAATAATATAAAATGTTGACGTAGCTTAATTGTGATAGCACAAATAAGAAGGGGATAAGAGTGTATGGGAAGTGGGAGGGCAGAGAAGCTAGGTCCCTCTCAATATCCTTGGGAAATCCTGGACTCCTTGTCTCATCCCATCCCATCACATCCCATCCCACTGCAAAATAGTGATAAGTACGAATTAAGACAGTTCCATACGGCTATGTGCACACATCTCATTTTACTTCTCACACATCTTTTTAATTTTCGACCGTCGGATCGAATGAATTGAAGAAGATAAACGGACATAAATTATTAATAGGTGTATGAAAAGTAAAATGGGATGTGTGGATAGCACACCAAAAAAAAAAAAAGATGTTCCGAATAGTTGTAAACATGTTTTATAATGTTCTATAAAAATTAACGTTAAACTGTGAAGTGACAGGAAATTCATAAAAAATTCACTTTGAGTGAATGTCCTTAGCATTTCTCAAGGATATTACTATTTGCTGAAAGCTTGAAACAAGTAACATCAGTGCTAATTGCAGATATTACTATCTGCTGAAAGCCTAAAACAAATGGCATTAGCCTAATCTAAAACCGTTCAACTTAGTCTTTGAAGTTAGTCCAGTTCGAAATACTCTGTCATAACAAATGCATTCTCGAAGTCTCCAATTCAGAAGCCAAAGGGGTTCTTTATTGTTAATCCAATCCAGTCCAATCCAACATGTATTGAACTGGTCCAGTACTGTAACACATAATTACAGTGAGATTTGGTAGGCAAGTTTTATTTGAAATGTCTGTCACCCACAACAGGAAAATATTGGGTGGTCATCCAGACTCCATGCATTGATGGAATTTGACTTGAGAGCTCTCAGTCCACATCAGCTGAGACTTGAGATTGATAGAGGAGGTGCCACGCTTCACAAGGCTTAATTAGTGCTTGGGCCTTGGGCTTCGTACAAATTCCAATTTCAAGCCAGTTGTCTTGGGCTCAATTGGGAGAGATTCTTGTATACGACTATCAGTATGCAGCGTTAGACTTACTAGGGTGGAGTCAATTTTAGGGTAGTACAAGTACAACGGGATTATATCGATATCGATACCGGTTGTTTTCAAAAAAAATTATGGAAATTTGTAATAAGGTGGGTATATCAACACAGTCAGATTTAGTTGAAATTAGAGACAAGTTTCTCAAAAAAAAATCAAAGGTTCAAAATTTGCAATCATTTCTAGGAAAATTTCTCCAGTAAATCGGTAAGTATCGTCAATATTCATTGATTTTCATATATCTTACCGATAAAAGGTAGAGTTTGCATTTCACCTTTCTTTCCATATCGATTCTTGATTTTTGAATATTTCGAACTTTTACAAATATTTTAAACGCTGGGCCCAAGGCGTATGCCCTCTTCGCCTGCCTCCGAGTAGTTTGAGATACCGGGTTGGGCCCAACTAAAAGTCCAAAAGCTTTGAGGCCCAAAATTATTACTTTAAAATAACGAGGCCCAAGCGACGAGGAAATAATATACACGTGTGACGTGTCCGTTCAAACAACAAACAAAAGAAAATGAAAAGGTCTTCATACGAATTATCTTCTATTTTATGTATCAAAAGAGGAAATTAAAACCGTACGGCAGCCAGTAAAGAACGTAATTGGTAAGGTTTGGTTGAAAGTGTTGGATGTTAACACGCGAACATATTACAACCACATGAGCTTTTATGGATATTTGAATCAACGTCCGGTATCAGGTCTCGTTTAGAAGTGTTATTAAAATAACTGAAAGCGTTTTTAATAAAAATATTTTTGAAATCAATTCTTAGTAAAGTTCAAGTGGATCCTGAAAAATCACGTGAAATACCTCTTTCAAGAAACATATATTTGATGATTTTCAACAAAAAAAACCACAAAATACTTTTAAAATCTAAAATTAATTACACCAGAAACGCCTTCAATAATGCCTTTAGTTATTCATACTGCAAAAAGCAACATACTTTGATTTTACGATTTAATAAAAAAGGGAAAAAAAGTTTCTCCTTTTCATACAAGTGATAGTTCTAAATATACTGATTTACAGAAAAAAAATTTGAATTTAAATGTAAAGCGGCCGACACATTAACTTGACTGACTGGTGTGGACACCTGCAACTCATCTTTGTTTGCATCTTAAAAGTCTTGGTATTTTGATAAATAATATAAAAACATCATACATCCCAAATTTAGAAATTTTCTGTAAAAATCTCATGTAGTGGGTCCCACAACAACTAATTATGCGCATAAATTGTGGCCACATCCAAGTGACAACAAAGACAAGGAAATATCTGGATGCTTCGGTTGGTGAAGGATGAAAAACTCGTATAAAATTATAAAAATAAAAGTAATACTATTCACGTACTTCTTTTTACATTCTACATTTTTATTTATTTTGTCTATTACTTTTTTTAATCACGACGATCAAAATTAAAAAGAGTACGTAAGAAATAAAAATAAATATATAAATAGCATGGCTATATAATTGTTGAGTGTGATTTTGATATATTATCCAGCAAGCAAAGTGGAAAGAGAAAGAAAGCCACTTTTTTGTGTTTGTGGATATACTTGGCTCACACTGCCTTACACTTTATGGAATATTACCAATTTGGATTCCTTGTGTTTTTGAAAGGGAGAGGATGCCCCTCAAATTGATCAATAGTTGAAAGGTTATCTTCCCAATTGAGGCCCTACCTTGACTTTTCACTCTTTTGATTTTTCAATCCTTAAGCTTTCAAAAAAATTATTTCCCCACTAAGTTTCTTACATTTTAAAACACTGGTAATCACGTTCATTTTTTTGTAACTTGTTAAGTTTGTGATACTTGATTAGATCAATACGTTTTGAGCTTGATCGACACTTGTTTAACATCAGCGTATCATAATTACCAAATAAGCACGAAAAACACATGAAATAAAAATTAAAGTTCATTCAACAAATATTGGATTTTGTTTACCTCGAAGTATCGCTCTTTTTATTAGCTATCTTATGTCTCGAAACACTTTCTGCAGCATCTAACTGAGTTGAAAACAAAAAGGACCTATCCATAATGTTACAAAGAGATTTAAGAAAATACATGTATATGATCTAACTCAGAAACAAAGAGGCTGATCAGTAAACATTCCCTTATGGTAAGCAAGAGAAAAAAGGTGTCATATTTGTCAGCAGCAAAAGGTTGAAGGGTCCCTTCCATCACATTCACAT